ACCCAAGAGACCCCGAAGATTGCCCCAAGATCGCCCAAGAGGCCTCAAAGATGGCCCAACGACGGCTCAAGAGGCACAAGACAGCCCCAAAAGGGCCCCAAGACGGCCCAAGAGGCCTCCAAGACGCCCAGGATGGCCTTCAAGACGGCCCCGAAGCGCCCAAAGAAAGCCCCAAAACGGTCCAAAGAAGCTCCCAAAACGACTTCCGACGGCGACAGACGAGCCAGGAACGCCGTGCGACGGCCAAAGAGGCCCCGTAGAAGCCCCCAAATGTCCCCAAGAGGCCCAAGGAGGCCCCCAAGAGGCCCCCAGGAAGTTCTCAGGAGCCCCCCAGAATAACCCCAGAAGCTCCCAAGAGGTCTCCTAATCCTTATCCTCATCCTCGTTCCTCCTCCCTCTCATGATCCTCCTCTTCCTGCCCCACGTGTCCCCCGAAGGGCTTCCACAACCGCTGGGGGAACGGATGGTCCAATGACGTGGCCACGCTATGCCCGAACATTTGGCCACAAAGGCGCATTTCAAAAAGGCAGGGGGGCGGCCTTGACTCGCCGTAGTTGGGCGTCTTCGACAATGTGAGACTGCTGTGCTACGGAATTGCATGTATGATTGGACACACGGGATAGGTTGCGACAGGGCCTTCGCGGAAAACGCTGCCGCTCAGCACGTCAACTTCCAGACGTGGACCTGGCGCGTGAGCGCCAGATCCACGCACCGACACATCGCCGATAGATCGGCGATGGGCCCCCGGTGGCGAATCCGCATGGTCCTGGGCGGGGTTAGGGGAGCGAAGACTGACACAAACATAAAAACTCGGAAGTCCGCGCGGATTTCTCAAATCCGCGCTGGACCCCCTCCCTGTCGCGCGGAGCGCGCCAGGGGCGGCGCCGGAGGCGCCGCCAGGGGGGGTCAAGCGCGGATCTGAGAAATCCGCACGGACCTCCGAGTTTTTATGTTTATGTCATTCGTCGTTCCCCTAGGGGTGGGCTATCGGGCACATATCGGCGATAAATGGGCGATTGGATGTCGATGCATCCCCCCCTGAGCCTATCTTCCACTGACGTTAGATCGGGCGTGTCCCCCTACAGGCAGATCTTGGACGAACATCAAAAAAAGTCAAACAAATATCTAAAACAAGAAACAAGTAGTAACAAATCCCCCCTATTAGAATATGTTTGCCTACTTTGGGATATTCCTCCTGTAGAGGGACACGCCCGACTTAACGCTAAGCCGATCTCCCCCTGACGTTAGGTCGGGCGATACCACTTACAGGTGGATGTTGGACGAAAACCTAATAATGATCAAACAATGATCATACATATCAACATCAAAAAGTCCCAACTAAAAGATGTCTTTATGTTGTTGGAATGTTCCTCCTGTAGAGGGACACGCCCGACTTAACCCTGAGCCTATCTTTAGGTCGAGCATGTCCCCCTACAGGCGGACCTCGACCTAACTATTGTTGTTTAAAAAAAACATACTCACCAAAATTATATATCATGAAAATCGTCCTCATACTATGGTTGACTATGTTTGAACATTCCCCCTGTAGAAGGATCGGCTCGACTTAAGTCTGAGTCTATCTAAAGGCCTCCTAGATGGGATCCGAGCAGATGGAATCGGAGGATCGCACCGCATCGCCGACACATCGACGTCGGCCACGCACCAGCGACGTCGACGTGAAGCAGATCGGGCTCCACATCGAGCCGAGTCGGCGATGCATCGGCGAGTTGGCGCGATCCTCTGACCCCATCTGCTCTGACCCCGCCTGGGGCCTCGACTGGCCCTCCTCCGAGCCCCCGCGCCCCCTCGGGGGGCCTCCGCAGCCGGCCCCGGCCGCTCCTGCTCCTCTGAATGGGGCCCAAGGACACACCAATAAATACACACAAATGAAAGAATCCCCCCATATTTTCCCATAGTTGCTGGGTTTCTTGTCTTCCCGCCCACCTCCCATAGTTTCCCATATTCTCTGGGAAATCGAGGACTGGTTGTGTCTGTGTGTTTCTTCTCCCCCTGATCCTCTTGGCGCACCCCCGCCAGGCAGCGGCCCTGACGCAGGCGAGATCGCGGCGCCAGGATCTCGGGAGGCCCCGGCCCCTGGCGCCGTGGTCTCGTCACAGCGTCGACGCCCGGAGGCCCGAACCCTTCCCCGGGAAAGTTGTTTCATCCACGGACATGATCGCGTCGTAAAAAAAGCGGGACGGCAGATGTTTCACTACGCTCGACCCTTGGGGGCCCTCGCAGGGCCTCGGTCAACAACAACGACAACAACAACAACAACAAGAACAACAACAACAAGAACAACAACAACAATTACTAGCACGTGGGGACACTCCGTTCTCACCAGTGCCAGGGTTTTCATAGGAGGCGGGCAATACCCCCACTTTGTGGGGGGGCCGGTTCAAGCTCTACCAAATTTCCAAACGACTCTTCGCCACCACCCACACCCAGCTTCCCGCCCTATGACGTTCGGACACTTCACTTCGTGGCATGCGGACGACCGTGGCTACTATTCAGGGCCCCGCGGCCGACGACGACGGCGTGCGCGCGCGAAGAAAAAACGAATGTGTCCCGCATGGTATTATTTGACAGGGATGATGGCCCTGGCAGGTGCGCAACCGTTGTCGCAGAAGTTCGAAAAAGTTGCTCGCAAAAGCCCGTTTGACAGAAATGTTTAAAAAGTGTTGGGTTTCCTACGAATCCGCAAGAGCGCGCGGGATGAGATTTTGACATTTTTTTGTTGAAAAACCATTGGTTTTTTGATGTTTTTATGTTAAAATCGCTGCGAACACTAAGGTTTTGGAAGGATTTCGTCTTGCGCGCGCGAATGTCCACTTTACCTTATTTTTTGCAAGGGATTCTTGAAATTTGATTATATTAGAACAAGAAATGTCATTTTATATTGTTTTTTGCAAGGGAAAGCGGATTACAACAAAACAACCGGATCCTGTACACACCCTCTTTTCTGAGGCTTCCTCACGAAAATGATGAAAATGTAGCTGCGGCCTAGGCGGCGCAGGGGGGGCGCGCACCAGGGGGCCCAACAATAATTATTCTTTAGAATAAATAATGTTCAACAACAACAACAACAACAACAACAATTACTAGCACGTGGGGACACTCCGTTCTCACCAGTGCCAGGGTTTTCATAGGAGGCGGGCAATACCCCCACTTTGTGGGGGGGCCGGTTCAAGCTCTACCAAATTTCCAAACGACTCTTCGCCACCACCCACACCCAGCTTCCCGCCCTATGACGTTCGGACACTTCACTTCGTGGCATGCGGACGACCGTGGCTACTATTCAGGGCCCCGCGGCCGACGACGACGGCGTGCGCGCGCGAAGAAAAAACGAATGTGTCCCGCATGGTATTATTTGACAGGGATGATGGCCCTGGCAGGTGCGCAACCGTTGTTGCAGAAGTTCGAAAAAGTTGCTCGCAAAAGCCCGTTTGACAGAAATGATTAAAAAGTGTTGGGTTTCCTACGAATCCGCAAGAGCGCGCGGGATGAAATTTTGACAATTTTTGTTTGAAAAACCATTGGTTTTTTGATGTTTTTATGTTAAAATCGCTACGAAAACTAAGGTTTTGGAAGGATTTCGTCTTGCGCGCGCGAATGTCCACTTTACCTTATTTTTTGCAAGGGATTCTTGAAGTTTGGTTATGTTAGAACAAGAAATGTCCACTTTAGCTTATTTTTTGCAAGGGAAAACGGGGGACAACAAAACAACCGGATCCGGACACCCACGTTTTGCCTGAGACTTCCTCACGAAAATGATGAAAATGTGGCTGCGGCCTAGGCGCGGCGAGGGGGCCGCGCACCAGGGGCCCCAACAATAATTATTCTTTAGAATAAATAATGTTCAACAACAACAACAACAACAACAACAACAACTTACTACAACGACAACTTACTACAACAACAACAACTACAACAACAACTACAACAACAACAACAACAACAACAACAACAACAACAACAACAACAACAACAACAACAACTACATCAACAACAACGACAACAACAATAACTACAACAACAACGACATCATCAACCTGACCAGCATACTAATTACCATCCTTCACCATTCATCATCAGCAGCACCATACTCAGCATTGGCATCATCAGCAGCAGCATCAGGATCAGCATCATCATCAAGCCCATCAGCAGCATCATCAGAATCCACATCGCCCTCACCATCATCATCAACAGCAGCAGCATCAGCATCAGCATCATGACCATCACCATCACCACCATCATCATCAACCTCAATATCAGCAACAGCAGCATCAGCATCAGCATCAGCATCATCAGCAGCATCATCAGTAGCAACATCATCATTTCGAACGCAACGCTTAGCTGTACACGTCGGCCGAAACAAGTAGGTGCAAGCAGAAAGTAGGAAGGCGGATAACGTAACATTGGATCCAGTCCTTCCAATGGAATCACAAAACAGAGCAAGACCATGCCCATCCTTGAAGCAGGAAGGCGCTAAGAAAAGACTGGGATCTGGGAATCCTTGTGTGTACGGGTCCGCCTCCCTGCTCTTCCCTCCCCCTCCTCCTCCTCTGATTGTGCCGCTCCCCTGCTTCTGCAGTGCAGCAGCCGCGAGAATGCCTGCAAACGACTGTGCCCAAAGATTGGCCCCAGGTACGCCCCGCGTCCCGCGACGGGGCCGACCTGCAGCTGACGGGCCAACAGGCGCGAAACCTTGGCCTGTGCAGAAACAGCCGAACGCACGTCCATTCCTCACAAAGTAGCTTGTGAGCGTGGCAACAATATTCGGGTCCCGGATGCATGTCCTCCCTCCCCCTCCATCCTCCCTCCTCTCCCTCCCCCCTCCTCCTCATGTATCCCTCCTCCTGCCTCCTCCCTCCTCCTCCCTCCCACTTCTCCTTTCTCCTCCTCCGAGGCCACCCCACCGACAACGACGACGACTGCGACGACGACGACGACGACGGCGGTGGCGGCGGCGACGGCGACGACATCCCGGCGGCCCGTTCCTGGGCGTCATGCTGCTCGTACCCCGCGAAGTAGGGCGCGATCTGGTCGATCGTCCGCTTCAGATTGCGGGGTTGGAACGAGGCGCTCTTGCCGGACCTCGGCACGGGGGGCCCATAGGAAGCAACTAGGGAAGGCACGCTAGTAAAGAAGGAACGAATCCCCTCCTGGGTATCAAACGCGCCCAGGTGCACGAGGAGAACCAGAGAGTAGCAACCAGGAGCGCACGCAAGGAACCGCGGGCACCTTCCACACCGAAAACGTTCCTTATGTCAACGCCTTAACTTTAGGTGAGACGGGAAGAAAGGTTAAGAAGCGTCCTTCCGCCTCCTCGTCATGACCCTCGTTTCGCTTCCCGCGTCGGGGTCTCTCACCCGCCCGCCCCGACCAGGCCCCGGCGCTGGGCCATGGGGACTGAACAACCTCTAGATGCGGGGAGAGGATGGCAATCCTTCGTCGCGCCCGAGCGGCGGTGACAGTTGGAAAGATTTGCATTCAGACCGCATGGTCAGGGCTTGCGGAGCTCAGCGACCTGAGCCGAACAGGTCGACGACGCATGTAAAAGCATATGATTGTTGACACGATTGGCCGACGCAACAGCGGGCAGCATCAAGCAGCGTGCCCCCCCCATCAAATCATTACCAAACGGTCGAGGATTTGAAATGATGTCCTTCCGCCTCCTAGTCCTCGCCCTCCTCCTCCTCCTCCTCCTCCTCCTCCTCCTCCTCCTCCTCCTCCTCCTCTTCCTGCCGGGTTCCAGCACGGCGCAGCTCCCATCCCAACAGCGGGGAGGCTGGCAACTTCAGGCATGACGGATGATGCTCATCCTGCAGTGGAAAAGGCCCCCCAGCCGCCAGGCACCGGATCGGCAGTTCGCATCCACAAGCGAAAGAGTGCGCTGCCTGTGTTGGTTCTGGACAAAGGGGGTCTTTCGTATGGGGGTCGCGAAACAAAACTAACGTAGTTTTGGTATTGGGGTCCCAAAACAAACATGCAATAGTTCAACACGTAGTGCATGGCGCGTGGCAGCCGAGTGCTCATGTTGCACGACGTGCGTGTCCCGCACGAACGATTGCACGAAGTCTTACGTACATGTTTGAGACCCCCTTGCAAAAGACACCTTAGCCCGAATCCGACTGTGGATAGGGGAACAAGTGTCCGGGAGACGTCCGGGGGGAGTGCCTGTGGACGTGCCTGGCCACGCGTCAGGAGGCGTGACAGGGGACATGCCAGAGAAAGTGCCAGTCCCAGGGGGGCCCGGGGGGCAAGCCCATGAAAGGCCAAGAGCATCCAAGATCCTTCACTCATCCTCTGACCTCGACTCTCGAAGGAGAGAAATCCGCCACCGTGCCTCTGGGCACGGAGTGGGCGTGTCCTTAGGTCCTCAGCCTAATCCCTGGAGCCTCAGTTCTCAGTCTGAACAGTCGGGGTCTGCAGTTAGGTCGGGCCTGTCCCCCATACAGGGGGATGTGGGTCAATACATGTTTAAGATACTCCAAAAAAACTTCCAAATAGTCAAATATAATAATCAATCAATCGATCCCGGACTATGTTTTGACTATTTTTGAATACTCCTCTGTAGGAAGACAGGCCCGACTTCAGTCTGGAGCCAAGACTCTCAACTCTCCCAAGACATGCCGCGGTTCCCCCCGGGGTTCCCGGCGTGCCCCCACGGGCTCCCCTGCAGCTCCTCGCGCGACTCTTTTGGGAGCCCAGGAGGGCCCGAGGACGGGCCAAGAGGGCTCCGAGAGGCCGCCAAGACGTGTCGCCGAACGATCGTTCGAAGACGCCGAAAGTGGCCCCCAGATGGCCCAAGAGGGCTCCAAGACGCCGCAAGGAGGCCTCCAAGAAGCCCCCCCAGGGGGGCCCCAGGAGGCGCTAGCCATCGCCTTCCCCGGGGTGTTGGAGAGATCTTGGCGTGGCCCCCGGGACCGCCCCACAACGGCCCACGAGTCTGCCAAGAGGGCCCCAAGGCGCCCCGAGACGGCCCGAGAGGCGCCCCAAGATAGCCCCAGGAGAAGGAGGAGGAGGAGGAGGAGGAGGAGGAAGAGGGGGAGGAGGACGAGGAGGAGGAGGAGGAGGAGGAGGAGGAGGAGGAGGAGGAGGAGGAGGAGCAGAGAGAAGGAGGGAGGAGGGAAGCACGAAGCGACAATCCGAGCCCTCCGCTCGGACCCAGGAGGCTCCAAGAGGCCCCCCAAGGAGGCCCCCCAAGGAGGGAGGCCCCAAAGAGGCGCCAAAACGGCCCCCAGGAGGCCCCCAAACTGCCTCCAGGAGGCCTCCGAGGGGCCTCCCAAGAGATCCCAACGAACATCCAGTAGGCTTCATGCCCACAACCCGGGCAGGAAGGCGGGATGGGCCGAAGGCCATTCGATGTAAGACGGAGCCAGGACGGGGATAGAATCGAGCGAGGACACATCGGGAATCTCTGCATCCGGAAGACGTCTGGGGCGCCGGGGCCTGCACGGAGCGCTGCAAAAACGCTCTGAGAGCGGTCCCAAACCCTCTAGAACGGATTCATCCTCGTCCTAGCCCCGTGCGAAAATATATACATTGGACGCCCGAGTTGTCCGGGGTAACTCGGGTCCGGGGTAACTCGGGTTTGGATTCCCGAAAAAGGAGCCCGAGTTATCCCTGACCCGAGTTACCCCTGATGATTCTGGGGCTCTGGACGCCCGAGTTATCCGGGGTAACTCGGGTCCGGGATAACTCGGGTTCGGATTCTCGAAAAACGAACCCGAGATAGCCCTGACCCGAGTTACCCCTGATGAGTCGGGGCTCTGAATACATGTTCCAAGGCCCGCACGGATTTTGTGCATCAACGCTGCAGCCTCCCTGGCAGGCGGACCGCGCCAGGGGCGGCGCCGAAGTCACCACCATAGGGGTACGGTGCAGATCCGCGGACCTCCAAACGTTTACTTGCATGTCCACGAGAGTTGAGCAGGGGCCGACCGTCCCGGCATCCCTGTAGTCCTACCACGAAATGTTCCTAGAACCCAAATATGTTCTAAGAACAAAAACATTGCTCTTAGAACGTAAACCCGATGTGCTAAAACAAGACAGTCCCAGCCAGAAACGTTCTAAGAACATTTCGTGCATAGCACTGAAGGTCCTTAGAACACTGCTTGGTGGGGCTGTGGGCGGGCCGGGACGCTCCGCCACTGCTTGAGAGAGCGTCCAAGAGTCCCCGCTCCTCCCCGACCGCTGGGCGAGCGCACCAGAGGCCCGCCATGACGTTCCCGAACTCCTGCGGGGCGTGGGGTCGGCCCGCGGCCCTGCCTCTTCGGCCCGCCAGCCAGGACGAGGACGACGGAGAACGAACGACGACCGACTCGCAGGGTCCCAGACACGGGGCCTCGGGTATCGACCCAAGCAGTGTGTTTCGCTTTCGCTTCGTTTTCGTTTTCCCTCGTTGTCTCCGGGCCGCCTTTTGCTGCAAGACCACAGCGAAGCGAAAGCGACCCACGAGATCGCCAGAACGCCGTTCTGGTCGAGCCCTGTGATATAGACCAGGACACTGGCGCGCTCGCGAAAAAGCGGCAGCCGTGGATCGAAGCATGTTCCCTTCTTCCACGTCCCCGGCAGGCTCTGGCAAAAACATGTCGGGGATCTTCTGACCCCGGTCAGTCCAGACCCCGGACAGTGAGGCCTTGCAGAATCCTGCAAGATCCTGCAGGATCCTGCGCCCAAACCCAGGTCAATGCGACCCTGGCCCTGCAGGATCCTGCAAGATCGGGCGTTCTGGCTGACCCCCGTTTGCATTGACCCCCATCGCAAGGCTCCCGATCATGGCTGCGAAGTCCTGGCTCCGGAGAGCCGGGCTGACCGACAACGGCGACGACGACGCCAGACACCGACGGACGACGGCCCACAACGACGACAACGACGACGACAACGACGACGACGACGACAACGACGACGACGACGACGACGACAGCGGCGGCGGCGGCGGCGACGACGACGACAAACGACGACCCACGACGACGACGACATCATAGGTCGACGATGCGGAACGATCTACCGACACCAGCCACTCCGACCACATCTCGGAGACCTGGAGTCGCATGACCCTGGAAGCACCCAGGAGGTCAACAGAATAAGACGAAGGCGAGACGATGCCGAAGTCGGACGAGGATGCATCGGGAATCTGCGGCAGCTGGCGCAAGTGTGGAACAGTGACAACAATGTATATCCGTGGCTGCCGCCGATCCAGAGCGATCCTGGACGCTCGGAGAGCATTCCAGAACGCCCCGGAGGCTCACGATAGGCTTGCCTGCAGCGCTATCGAGACTTTACCTCGGTCGCGTGTGCCCAGATACGCCGCCTCCGGTCCACGAATTGCCGTGCCGATGCGACGTCTTGGCGCGGCTGCCTTGGTCTGCCCGACGGAGCCATCCGGAGGCCCCCCCCGGAGTCCAGCCCTTCTAGACGACGCGCAGGCAGTGTGGCGAGGGCCGGCACGGGCTGCGGCGCAGCCGAACGGGGCAAGCACGCATCGGGCTGACTTACGTCCTGAGGATTGTTCTGCCATCGCTCGGACGTCCATTCCCTGTGTTTTTGTTCGGTTTCGTGCGTGATTTTTTTCGCCAAATGATCAAGGATGCTCCTCGATGGTCCTCGCCGAAGGAAAAATGCACACGTCCGAGCGATGCCGAGATTGTTGGTTGAGGGAGGAGATGGAGAACCCCCGCGAAGCTCCAGCGGTGCTGCCACAACCCCTGCGCTGCCTGCCGGAGGTACCCGCCGGAGCGGGCAAAGTCGTCTCCCGGCCCCGGCGAAAGACGGCCGCGGAAGGACAGCCGCTAAAAATCATAGGGATGAGCAGTCGGAGATCCAGAGGCGCCGCCAGACAGGCCCAGCGCAGATACAAGAAATCCGGGCGGACCTCCAAAAAGTAGCATTGCCACAAGAACGTGGATCAAGAACGTGAGACCCTTCGCCGCGGGACAAGGGCCCCATGTAGATACAGTCGGACCTAGGCCAGAAGAACATCCCTCAAGAACATGAGACCCTCCGTCGGCCAACACAAGCAGAACATCCACGGGTAGCCTCCCCAAGAATAGCACAAGGACATCAAACAAGTACGGAGAACACTAGGGTACCCTCGACGAACCAACCTCGATCTTACACTAACCAGCCTCGAACTTATCCTTATCCCTAAGATCGGCAAGCCCAAGGCGATGACAATCGTAGGGATGTGCCCTCAGAAGCTGAGGGAATCCTTAAGATCAGCACCGAGGTAAGGTGATGAAGAACATAGGGATAGGGATATGTTTCCAGCTGGTAATACACCTCGGCCCCGACTGTACCAAACAACACCCATGCCGACGAAGACCGTGAGGAAAGCGAACTCGGGCTTGCCTTGACTCTCGCACCGACTCTGTCCACGCTGGGGGCTCCTGCTCTTCAAGTCGTCCCATGGAGACTCGGCGACTTCCGGCAAACAAAGGCCAGCGGCGCCCGGAGCATCGTCCCTCGATCTCCCTCCTCATCTTCCTCATCCTCGATCATCCGTCTTCCCCTCGATCCTCGACTCTCGATACTCCTCCTCCTCCTCCTCCTCCTCCTCCTCCTCCTCCTCCTCCTCCTCCTCCTCCTGCCCCTCCTCCTCCTCCTCCTCGTTCTCGATCCTCGACGCTCCTCCTCCTCCTCCTCCTCCTCCTCCTCCTCCTCCTCTTCCTCCCCCTCCTCCTCCTACTCCTCCTCCTCCTCCTCCTCCTCCTCCCCCCCCTCCTCCTCCTCCTCTATTCAAGTGAACGTTTTCTTATTCTGCGTTTCGACATTGAGCGAAAGGAGGAGGAAAGGGGGGGTATGGCTCCCGACCTCTGCTCGATGCGACTGTTTGCAACAGTGCGTCTTGTGGGGGAGACTCCACCTGCTCGAGGCAGGCGTCCAAAACAGCCAATGATTTACTCCATGGGGGGGGGGCGGGGAGGGGGGGCCGGGCCCGCGCAGATCGGCGAAAAACAATGAATAAGAGCACGAATACCAGAGGGGGGGCAGCTGAGACAGTCCATGGCGGCTCTCCCTCGGGGGCGTCCTAAGGGGGGGCGTTGAAGAGGAGGGGGGAGGCGCAAATCATGGCCGGCGGATTGTGCACGGCCCAAGGGGGGGCCAGGGACGTAATGAAATAAGAAGAGGCACCATGAGATCTGGGGAGATATCATGGCCCCCGCCATGATATCCACCCCCTTAATCATCACCCATCTCTTTTTTGGACGCCCGAAATGGGTACGGAAAGAATTGGCACAATGCCCACCAGCGAATGTTGTCCCAAACCAACAGCGGCCGCTGCTGGGCAGGCGGCCTTCTGTCTCGAATGGACACAGGCCGCGGCGGCGTGGACAGCGAACCCTGTTCAAAACGAACAGGAACTGCTGTTGGGCATTGCACCCATTCTTTCCGTACCCATTTCGGGCGTCCAGATCTTTTTTGGGTGACCCAAAAGGGGGTCCAGCTGAAAGGGGGTGGTGCAATAGATTTGCGGCAATTGTATTGCAAACGTATTGCGCTGGAGAATTGTATTGCATTGTATTGCCAATCATGTATTGCTCGCGAAAATCCAACAATACATTTGCGCCCCGGAATGTGTTGCACGCCCCAAATGTATCGCAACCCCACAAATCAATTGCACCAAATCTACTGCATCACCCCCTTTCAGCTGGACCCCCTTTTGGGTCAACCCGATCTTTGCCGCTCCCGACTCCCGCCCCAGCCCACATCCGATCCAGGGCCCTTCCTGACTTCGAGGCGGATCCTGTCGTGGCGCCTGGAAGCCTCCAGGAGGACCCCAACAGGACGGGAACAAGGGATGGGAGGGCCGCCGGTGTCTCGGCTGGCCCCCCTCCGACCCTCCCTGCTCCTCCCTCTCCCTTGATCCTCCTCCTCCGCCTCCTCCTCCTGCCCCTCCTCCTCCTCCTCCTCGTTCTCGATCCTCGACGCTCCTCCTCCTCCTCCTCCTCCTCCTCCTCCTCCTCCTCCTCCTCCTCCTCCTCCTCCTCCTCCTCCTCTCCTCCTCCTCCTCCTCCCCCCCCTCCTCGTCCTCCTGCTTCTCCTCCTCCTCCTCCTCCGCCTCCTCCTCCGCCTCCTCCTCCTCCGGTCCTCGGCCAGGCGGCCCCTCGCCCCGCCCTTCTCGCTCATGTCGCGAAGGTGCTGCGAGGACAGGAAGTACTCCCGCAGCAGGGGCGTGTTCGCTACGCACCTCGGCCAACGTCGGGGGGGCCGGACGTGTACTCTCTCTGTCTCTCTCTCTCCCTCTCTCTCTCCCTATATATATATATATACATATATATACAGATATCGTCGTCCGAAGCGCGCCCCGCAGCAGTGAGAGGAGGAGAGGTGGGTAATGCGGAGGGTAAGGAGAAGGAGGAGGAGGAGGAGGAGGAGGAGGAGGAGAGGAGGAACAGAGGAGGAGGAGGAGTGGAGGAAGAGAGGAGAAGGAGGAAGAGGAGGAGGAGAAAAGGGAGGAGAGGAAGAGAGGAGGGGAGGACCAGGAGGCCTAC